CTTCAGCCACAGCAGCTGCTGGTACTCCCCAGTCACCTGCAATTTCAGTTTACAGATCAAAGAAATAGCATTATACAGGTAGTCAAATAATAACAAATTTCTACACATACATTTGCCCCCCTGATCAACGCACTCAACTCTTGGCTTTTAGATTTGCCCAACAACAAACACAAAGGAAAACTTGGACTAGCCCATATAAAGACAACCGCTGATAGATATTTTTCCCCTTCTTAAATGGGAGCTTTGCCAAAAGATGGGCTGGGATCATAAACTATACCCTATTCTTTGTTTAATTACTTCGCTTTTGCTCTTAACTTGGCAAAGCATTAGGCTTTTCATTTTAGTAAATCTATAATTAACTCCAACATGTGCTGAATAAACATAACCTCATTTTTAATTAAATCTTAGAACAAGATGCTACAACTTGCCATTCTAAGGAGAAGTATGTATATCAAGTAACACGCAACAAAGAGTCTAATCCTTGTCAAACACGAAACTTAAGTCCAACTCTGAGTATAACCCACCCTCTTTTCAAGTTGTCCAAATGTGCATTCACCAGCTTCAAGACCAAGATGTAACACTGAAGAACCACCAGTTTACATCAAAAGTTTTTGAGAATAAAGCCAAATCAGATCTAAATGGTGATACAGCAAAACTGAGAGATAAAAACTTGGATGCCCGAAGAATCATTTTTCCAGGACATTTCATTGGAATGCTTTTGCAATAGTTCTCATATAAAAAGAGAAAATAAATATAATTTATCTTAAGTATGAAAAGAGTTGAAATATCACATACATTATAAATACTAGAAAGTAAGTTCCTCAGGGTTTCTGATTAGTCATTTATAAGTTAGAAGATTCAGAAAATTTACTTGTGGCAAGACATTCAAACAGGACCAACTCTAAAACAATTCTGCATTAAAGTATGAGATATCAACATTCTGACTTAAAGTGAAATCTCTGCAAAAATAAAGGTAAACTACTATAGAAATGTTACATCAGCTTTCCTTACTATATACTGCAATTGTAAAATTTTTCAAAAAAAAAAAAAAAAAAAAGATCTCTGGTGTTACACATTTCCCAACAGCCCTCAAGAATTTAGAGGATTAAGTGGTACAGTTAAACAGCAGAAAGCTTCAGAGAAAGTGTACTTGATGTTCAAGAATTCCACGTACCAGTGCCAAACAAAAGAACCAATACATTGTTAAATACAGAAGCTACAAGATTTACGGCTTACAGATTTAAGAAGGAAAAAAAAAAAAAAAAAAGCTGTGCGTTTTAATGAAAAAGAGCTCAAGAGAATTTTACAAATATTAAACCTGATACAACATTTGTTTCTTTTCACTCATCCCCAACGCTTGGAAAGAGTTCCCTCATGAAGACACAGAGTTTTTCAATTAATGATTTTGATTGCAACAGAATGTAGACACTGATAACTTTCCATTAGGCAGAAGTCAGTTCACTTACTAACCTTATCCAAAATATATTTAAAACATGACTTCAAGATAATTTCACAAAGTATTTTCTTCCAGCCATTTTATACTGTCTCAATTTGCACATGCTTATTCTGAACGACTTTTTCCCATTGGTTCTCAACAGGTTTAGCTTAGTTATCTTTCAACACCTCACAACATTTTAAAGATGCGTAAAGGAAATCCTTCTGTTTCAGTGGAGGCGTGCAATTAAACAAGGTGCCTTGAGGCCAAAGTACATGATCTTATCAATGGGTGACACTGATTTGGTAGTGTTTGCTAAGCACAAAGGTAGGATTATTATTTACACTATAGCAGTGCCACAGCATAGCAGGTGCTTTCTAATCTCCAAGGAACACAATTTTCATGCCTCATCTCCTGATTTCTTCAGGAAACTAAGGCTGATGCATTCACGCTGTCTGCGTGTACTCTCATCATTCTCCCCTATCTCCTCTTCCAAACTAACTTTTCATACAAGTTGGACAATCATGACCAACCAGAGAAAAGCATAGAGATCAAGTTATTAAATTCTCACAAGTTTTATGAAAAAAGGGACATAGGCAGAGACTAAAATCTTAGAGCCCGAGACATTAAAGGAGAACCATAACACAGGCTCAACCTTTACTAGAGACTGAAGAACGTCTACAATCAGATTCAAGATATAAATCTTTAAAATGCTTTAAGCATACTATTTCTTTTTTTTTTTAAGTAGAGTTATGTTAGATTTCTGTAAGGTAAATCTCAAATACTAATATCGAATATTAAGAGCACAACTGTGGAACAAAACATTAAAAATGGTTAATGAATCAACATATGCTGCTATTTGCATTGTTTATTGCAGTTCTGAATCCATCACAATTAAGTAAGAGCAGGTACAACAGAGAATCATTCTCAAAGTATGCAGTGCAACATAAAAGTGCCATTAAGTGTCTGAACACGCAAGAACTTTTACCATCCACCTGTTTTGCATTTTTATCAAAGAGATTTTGTACTGGTTGATTAAGGATACTACTAAGAAGAGAGTATTACTCTCCCAGATGTCCATGTAGTTTCAGCAGAAGCTGAAGGTACTTAGTACACCTGGCACAGGGAAGGCAGAGCGAAGTGGAATGACAGGTCAAGAGCTCTGAAAAAAGCATTTTATCGAGGACATCATTACGCTGCAGGTTGGCCTATCTGGTTACACAAGGTGAATAATGATCAGCTTTTCTTAACTGGCTCTTCTATTGTGATCTACAGCTCACTGCCCATTTGTGTTATCTGTGTAGGACTAAGTCTGGGGTAAAATGATGGTAATGATTTTTGACAAGTTACTTTCATAAACGACCATCACCTGTACTCAAAGCTATTACATTGGGGTTTTTTACTCCACACAAGCTACGCTTGCAGAAGCTAAGTTACACCTTAAATGGTTACTTAACGTTGTATGAATTACTAAGAGGAATACTTTCCCTAACAATGCCGCGCAATGCAGGACCCGCTGTAAGGAAAGAAGCTAACAATGACACACCGTAAAATAACGTACTGCAGTGTAATTACATCTCAGTCTATTTTATTAACTCTGCTAGTTTTCCTGACAGAATATCATTTAACACCTTATTATGAAGATTCATACTACCAGTGTATTTGAGGATAGCAGTTTTTCCAACAGTTTATCAAAACTTTTTTCCTCTGTTTTTTTCAATTGATGTAATGTATTTTTATACCAGAATGTTTTGCTATAAAGAGATTTTTAAGATCTTCACAATTTTACAAAGAAAAAACTATGAAAATACGCTTGGAAGTCCCCTTCAGGAAGTGCTAAGTTTAGGAAACACACAATGCAATAGTTTAGCTAAGCAAACTCTCCAGCAAAAATGAAAGATTAATCTTGCTCGGACTAACACACAAGCTGCATGATGCCCGGTCACATTGATAGTGACAGCATCTCAACTGACAGGTTTAGTAACAATAGCAAAAACTGATGGTACACTACCAGCAACACAGACAGATTGGACAGCACTCTATTCTTTGATTTAAAAGTAGGCAACAGTAGTATTACTTCTAAGCATGTGAAATTCTCAGGTATCCAGAACTATAAATGCATTTAGGCAAGATACTTGGTACCAAGTTTTCTTCCGGAGAAAATAAATGCAGCTTGCCTCCGCAGCTGATACCAGTTCCTAATCAAATGTGGTAAACTCACAATCATCTCTTCAGTAATGTAAATCATCCTTTTGAAAGTAGTCTTTTTGAAACCTTTTTAAGTTAATGTGTGAAGTTTTGCAGAAAATGTGTCACTTTTTCTTTGAACAAATCTTTCTTTCATGGTACAGCACCATAAGGTAAATTATCTTTGAGGAACATAAAGCACACTCAAGTCACTCCTCTCTTTTGAATGTAGGACATCTGAGAATTGATGGAAATTTTACTGGCCTCGGGTCATAATGTTTAACAGGTTTATCTAATTTCATTCCAGAGCATTTACACAGTCATATAAAATTTTTTTCTTCTCTTTTTTTTTCCTTAATCGTTCTTTGAATTGTTCTGCAAAGCTTATTATGCCCAGAGAAGTACAAGGACAGCTCGATTTCTGCACCCAAAACTTCAAGGAACAATTGCAATATATTTCTTAAGAATACACAACATGAACTTATAAACACATGAAGGTCACATTGAAAATTTAGTTAAAATTAGAGACAAAAACTAATGCTGTTAGATTAAGTTAGTCCCTTTTTTTTGAATTGCTGACCTTAGATTTTATCATCTGCACAGATCAGAAAATGCAAATACCCAGAGCAAGATTTAAACAACAAAAATCATCATCATCATCTCCCTCTCATCTGGAAGGACAGATGGGAGATGGAAGATGGGGAATCAGTTACTTCTGCTCTTCAAAGCATTTAAAAGACAAAAAAATAAAAAAGTTAAAAAAAAAAAAAAGAAAACCTGCCTACGGTCAACTTTTTCTGACTTGGTGTCACATTTACTTTGAATAAATTTTGTTTTTTTATTATAAACTAGCAAGACCAACATTTGTTATCTGATGTCATAGTGAGGTACAGTTGCCATAGGCAAACCTACTGGACATATGTCTTTTTAGGAAATACAAGTATGGCGTTATTGGACTTAAGGACAGGGAGGGAGGACTGCAATCCCCCATATTTTGCAAAATTAGAACAAACATCATTTTATCAAAAGCATGTTATCAAAATGATGTTTGTTATTCACATTTTGTGTTTTCTCAGAGAAAGTTCAACATTTTCTTGATACAATGGCAAAGACTGTTAAATAGGCACACTTTTTCCTTCAGAAGTGTTTTTCAGAACTTTTCTTTACCTCAAATCCATACAGCATGGCTTACTATTTTTTAAGTATAGAGCATATTTAGCACAATGCAGTATAATGGCAATCCCTGCCTGGTCTTTAAAGGCAAGCTGTACCATGCTTCAACTGTAAAGACAGGAAAAAACCTAGAGCAGATCAGTGCGTAAATTAAGTTCAAGCGGAATTTGTCGTTGCTCCAGCCCCTCAACACGTTTGTACTTACCTGCAGGTAAATATTTCAGCTGGTTGTTGGCCAAGCGAAGATGACGTAAAGATCTCAGGCGGCCAATCTCTGGGCACACAATTTCGAGGGCATTATCACTGAGGTCCAGAAACTGCAGTTTAACGAGGGAGCCAATGGCTTGTGAGAGAAGAGATTAAAACATGAATGTGACCCAAGAGTAATGTCAAAATCTTAATAGGACTAGGAGAGGATAAAAAGCCACAGTACCTAACACCTATATCTGAGCAGATTGTGACGTATTAAAGTCGATCTCATAACTGAATGACAGTTTATGGAAACGCTTATCTATCTAACAAACAGTATTGCTGGCAATGAAATGGGGAGAGAAAAGAAAGTCATATACTGGATACTCCCATTTCTATATTTTCCTCATGCAATTCTGCCCTGAAATTGCTTTTTCCATTCCTTTGCTATGAGGCTATCCAAATTATATATTCAGACAGAGTTTGAAGTGCTTTTCTGAAGCTGGACAAGTAGCTCTACAATTAGTGCAAGGAAAATAAACTAGTACGAGTTCTTGATACTTCAGGTTTCAAATGTTTCATGAAGAAAAGTAGTAGAGTATTCTATGTGGTAACTGGCTTAAAGCACAAGACACTCTGGCGTTTTGTTTCTGTAGATGAGTGCCCTTTAGCCTTTTCACTTGCTGCAATTAGAAACGAAGCAGAGAGCATTTAGGTGCATTTGAGACTTCATTAAAATAATTTAACATAACATAAACAAGGATATTATTGACTAAGAGTTATATTTGGTATGAAAGTCTTTAATGTTTTGCGGGAAAACAAAGGAAAAATATGCATCTTCAAAAGAAGGAAGAAAAATAAATATTTTATGATTCCTGCCACTTATCGTGAGCTGGTAGGTTACTTACCTTCAGGTACAACAACTATGTTATTCGAATGAAGGTACCTAGAGGGAGGAGGAAAAAAAGCAGAGAACACCACCTGTTACCCTCAAGGACTTCTGCTACATAATCAGTTTGCAAAAATATCCAATTTCAGATTGAAATAAAAGAGCACCCCCAAAGCCATTCCTCTCTATGATCACAAAAGCTGTGGAAACTGTACAAACTGGCAACAGACAGGTACTTAAGTTTCACTTAGTCTGTTAAATGATTATCATAAAAGAATGACAAAGTTTTTTGAAACAAAACATTCACGGTTACAACAACAATAGGCTTAAGTTTTGAGAATCATAAGAAGAAAGATAAAAGAATAAAGCAGAAAAAATAACCAAAATGAACCATATTTTATCACAGGCTATTTCACACTAAATGCACAGTAACAAAAAAATCCCCAAACCCTCACAAGTTAAGTTGATTATGAACACCTTTCCCCGTACATAAAAAACTCTCATGCCTTAACTGACTGCAGAGACAAACACATGATCTACTCCCCGTAATTGGGTTTTTCAAAGCTAGAGCACATTTCTGAAAAGGAAAATCCATTCGTGTACATAGTCATTAGCCAGTAACGATGAGGACCTGACCTCTCGTTTAGAATATTCAGCACCCTCTAGTGGAGCACATCCAGCACTAGCATTAACATAAAAACTTCTTAAACAGATTTCTCACATTTTCGTTGTGATGAGTGAAATAGACATTGCTGCAAATAAATGAAAGGGCCCTGTAGCAAACGACAGTAACCCGATTTTCACATATCATTATCTATTTGTAAAGAAATACTCAATACTCAATGCCCAATTGCTTAAGTACACACAGAAATGACTTGCACAGCCCAATTTTTTTCCATTCTATAAAGCGTTTCCAAAAGCAGGAGCCTTTTGGGGGAGACAGAGGCAAAACAAGGAAAAAGACGCACGAACATTTCAACTGTTTGTAACAGCTGAACTCTTTTTTCTTTAAAAATTTCAGAAAAAAATTCAAAGCGTTATTAAAAACGTAACAAACAGATAGCCGATGTGTTTGTAGAACTCCTTATATATAACCTCAGGATGAGAACTCTCCTTTTCAGCTACAGCTACTGAAAATAGTTGTGAACTATTTCACAGACAGAAGCAGTCTAAAAAATGTATGTTATGAAGATTTATACATAAGAGTCCCTGCATGATGGACACAAAGAAAGGCAGACTATAGTGAAGCTTTTAAAAAGTATATGGTGAAATTGCTAAGGGACACAACCGATCTTCCTGAAAATTAAGTTCGTTTTTCAAAGTTTAGAAATACTGTAACAAAGCGCTCTTTAAGATGAAATCTTTATTTTGTGGTCTCTCTTCACTTCTCTGTCAACAAAATAGCTGTTATTTGCTAATCAAAAATTGACCTGTGCTATTAGAACTGCCTGAATCACAGGACAAATGCACTTCTCTACAGACCACTAGAATGTATGGGGTAACAGTAGTACAACTGAGCTTGCTGAACCCCTAATTATTAGGTCTACTGACTCCTACAGCGCAGTGTTTGGAAGAGATTATTCTAAGAATCTGTGATTTTAGGCAGATTTTCTTTAGGGCACCATCAGATAATATTGAGATTCCTGATGCCCCATGGCAAATCATTAAATACTAACTATATCAAGTACAAGAATGTTTTACTGCTTCAGAGCATACATAGATTCTCAAGAGTCAGGCATGATGAGACAAGACTGTCTCCCAAGCAAGTTGGAGACTGCTGTGACCTACAAAACAGTTCAATTATCTTGTGGTCGCACGTACCAGAAAGGTGCAGTTTCAAGGGCCAAATTAAGATGATAAGATCAGATACCTGAATGCATTACGCTACTCAGATATATACCTCCTCGTTTGGAATAATCTACTATATAAACAAATGAATAGTCCATTAGTTATTTAACTAAAAGGAAGTCAAATCAGTTGCAAGGGAAGAAGAGGATGTCCGTTAAAAAAACAAAAAATCCCAATCTTACTGTACAGGCAAATCAGAGCCTTAAAAGAGAAAAGGGGAAGGAAGAAACCACTGATTCAGGAGCCTTCAATTCAAAATTAATCACCAAAACAATACAGTTCATGGGACTCCATTCTCTGGACAAGACTGGATAGACTATTCTGCCTGCAGCAATCATTATTAAATGGTTACTACTCCTACTTGGTCATTGCTGCTCCTATTTGACAATCTCTGACTTGATTCCAAAAAATTCCTATTACAATCAGCAGGACTGAAGTCATAACGCCACTAGTAGCCAGGGTGGAAATAAGCAAATATGGATGGGCTTGAGGCAGTAACCTGTTACTCTGGCTCCGTTGCATCCATCCAATCATACTGTTTGGCAGGTCCAGTGACAACAGCTCAGGGTGATCAGTGTCACAACAGCATACACAAGACTTTTGCGGAAAGTTTTTTTTCCTTAGCAGTGTAGGCACTTGTAAAACAGTTCTTGTTATACAATAAACAAGAAATAATATTTAAAAATATTAAAATAGGATTGAATACATCTGGATGTACATCCTTTAAAAAAGAAAACCCCCAAAAACCGCAACCACACACACACACACCCCCAACCAAGAAGAATGACCCTTTCTTGCCCTCCAAGAAAACCCTTCACTGTTAAGAGGTACGTTACGTGCAAGCAATACGTTCTAAAATTATTTTAAGATAAAATGGATCAGCATAATAAAAATATATTAGAACTCCTACACAAACTCACAATTCCACGAGGTTTGGAAGCTTCTGTGCAAGGTTTTCTGGCTGAAAAAGAGTTAGATATTTTTTAGGTTTAAAACCAAAAACTAGACGCACACATATTGTGTACCCAACTCATTTTAATAACCATACTAAAATATGTTAGCAGCTAGGCACAAAAAACTGCAACAGAAACCTGTATACAATACCCCATTTCCAAATACCCGCACATTCTCCATCAGTGCAATCTGGGATATACCAAGGGTGAGCAGTTCATTACTGAAACTGAACCACAGCCTAGAAATGACATTAACGTGTCCTCAAGCAAACGGTCTTCTGAGGCTGAAAAGACAGATCACCAAAAACCTTACTTTTGAAAATATATTAAAATAAATGAGTTAGTGAAAGCAGAGAGACTGCTAAGAAGCTGCTGTGAGATTTAAGGTGGAACAGGAACTATACAAGATCTCTAACTATATGACTGATTTTATTTTGTATTGCTGGTAAACTGGGAAATGACCTAGAAAGTTAGTGGATCTTAGTCAATTACCACCAAACCAGAAGTACTGAATCCATCAAACTAGATTTCCTTATTTACATATTAATATATGCACATCATTTTCTATCTCCTAACTGATCCCTGGCTGGCATTTATAACCATGAACACATACTACAAAACTGGCTTGAGTTCCAAATATCACGCTGGTAATCCTACTGCAAGTTATTCAAGGTTAAGACAGTTTCATTGCTTAAGAAATCTACCTTCAATATAGATATGGTTTTATTGAAAAAGTCCAGTTTTCAACTGGTTACAATATACATATAAGCAGACACATACACACACAAAAAAAGCAACTCAATAACATGGTCAATTTCCTGTAAAAAATAGCAGCAATTTCCACTAACAAATAAGGTACATTCTCACCTACAGTAACTTTATGGTTATAAACTTATTATGGAGAAATAGGTGAGCCTGAGAAAGTAATGTCATCTTACCCATATGTCACAAAGATGCCACATCCTAGATCCAAGTACAAAAATTAATTTGTTTTTAACTAGGGAGCAGCAAATGGTGACTCCATAATAAATGAACCAGTTGACATCAAGATGCAAGAAACAAGCTATAACTAAGCAGTTGTTGCCACCTAGTGGAAGGTTTGTTACAGTATATTTATCTTCTCTCAGCACAGGTTTTTATTTGGTCAAAGAAAAAAAGCTTAGGCTGGGAAAAATATACAAAGTCTGCAACTAGCTTGAGCACAACAAATTCGGTTTTTAACTCAAAAACAAAGAGGGAATGTGAGAAAAAATTCTCACTGTTGTCCCAAATCCTTCCTTAGAGTAAGGATGCTAATCTGAAACACCCACAAACTATTTCCACATTACACATGACTGTTGCACTTTTTCTTTTTTTTTTTTTTTTTAAACCTGACTCCTTCATATTGTCAAAGAGCTAAACTCAGGAGAGAGAGAATAAGTGTACAATTAAGAAGTCCGCAACAGAAAATCTGCTTACAAGAATGATGGGTTTGGGATGAATTTGTTTAACACAACATCCTACAACGGAATTAAGATCAAAAATACAATACACATCCACGTACATCCATATGGACAATATCCATCTATTGAAAAATAGAGGTCAGCGACATACAAACTCCAGTCTCTTCTGGTGACAGGACTACAAATAATGATGATAAATGAGTCATCACTTCTGTCAATTTAAAGAAGCTTCCCTCCTGCTCACACCCACATGGCATTTTTCACACAGCAAACATGCAAATCCATCTCAATTGGACAGAAATGTATATTACAAGTTACTTCAGCTATAAACAACTGTTCTTTGATATGGCTCGATCCTACTTCTGACATTGCCATCAAGGCAAACTATTATTTCCTCTTTTTTAGAGGAGGAAATGGGATTACTGGAAAGCTAATGATATTAGTCAAACATTAAATGAGGAGAAGGTGAAGACTTGATACTGGGCTACAGGTGGGTTATATAGCTCCCTAATCCATTCGTTATCTGATGTTTCTCTATCATTTCCATCTTGTCATTGAGGACAAAACTAAAATTTATTCTTAGGTAAAGTATACATAAATACTGACTGTAACTATGGCCAGACATTTTCATAGGAGTCATCCATCAAGGATTGGAATAATTTAAAAATAGCAAAGAGGAGCAAAAATTGATTCAGTCAATATTTCTCAAAACTCAGGAAGGAAGATCTAGGGGCACAAAGAAGAAAGTACCACCTTTATTTCAAAGTAAAGAAATATGGTTTGGATTTAGTTTTGATAATGATTACTCATAATCTATATGCCATTTGAAGGATTTATTGATGAACTAACACTCATCATGTTGCATAGAATCAAAGCAGCACAAGGCTGAAAGAGACATGAAAACCACATCCTCTGTGTCACCCTCTGATGCAGAATCACCCCTCAAAGACATCTGTACACCTTCTCTTTCAAAAGCCTCCAGTGAAAGGAACATACAGTTTTCCTCAATGATCTATTACAGCTCTCAACTCTTCTCAGCTGAGTTTTTTCTCCATGTATCTAACCATTTCTTTACTGAAACTGAGAGGATTACTTGTCCCACCAACAGTGGACATAAAAGAAAAAAATTATTTCTTTATAAAATCTTTGCTTTTAAAAATACTGATGTTCCCCCCGTGTTCCCCTCCTTCCTCTTCCATCTTCCCCTCCACTCCTTTTTCCAGCTTCTCTTTTTGCAAGAGAAATTAACCTAAATCTCTCAACCTTTTCTCATAGCACTTGTTCTCCAAAAATCATTTTTGACACTGATTTTTAGATTCTTTCATACTTATGAAAAACATTAGTAAATTGGAACCCCAGACTTCAAATCGTACTCTAGCTTATGCTTTAAGAAGCATAAGAATTACTTTCTTCAGTTTATAACAGAGATTGTGAACCACTCTATGCCCCCAAAAGATATCTGCCTTCTTTATAACACACTACTGGCTTCCACTATTTTCATCTACTTCACCTTCCCCTCTCCATGCTGCAGAACAGAGACTCAGCAAGTTAGACCCAATTTCACATGTCTAGTTCTTAGAGATAGTGCTATGCACTTGAATGAGATTCCACCAAGTTATGTTATGACCAAGTTATCTACATCTCTTTGAACACCAATTCTCTGCTTCAGAATGTCTGCAAGTCATCTTAACTACACGTTATCTACATTTTAACCTCTCTTTCATTTCCGCTATCCATGCCTCAGTGACAATTCTGAGCAGTATTGGATCAGAGCTGCTTTCCTCTACCTAGAGCTCGTTTGTAACCAAGGCTAATTGCACTTATACTATATTTCACATCTATGGGCTGGTAGTATTAATAGATATTGAGAAGAAAATGGAACTAGATCGTAACTGATAAGATTATGTTTTGGTTTCTGATTTATAATTACTTTAAGAAAAAAAAATAAAAATCAGGCTTTAACACAGACATACAGAAAAGTGATATGCAAACTTTCTGTATCACTGTTTCCCCTTTTGAGTAGTGCAAATTTCATGAGCATAACACCAGTACATAATCACTGTATTTCACATAGAGTTGAGGCAGAGCTGTCTACACTTTTAGGTAAATTTTTAGTCATTTTTAATTTGTAACCATGAAACCTATGTGCCTATCAGATCATTAAGCACAGGACTTGCCCAAAATGTGCCTAAATAATTTTCTACAGTACATATAAACTTAAGTGACTCAGTTAAGAAAAGGCACAACATTTTCAGAATCCTTCTAGCTTTTGCTCCATGAAGTGAAACCTTCATTGAGGGATTCTAATGAATTGTTGTTAAAGCTTTAAGAATTACTCCTTAAACTGAAGTACTGGGCTTTTTGCTAGGAAGCACTGAAAAATACGTAATTTTGATAAATTCTAAGCAGTTAGGCCTTCCAAGTCCTTTGTACTGGCTATTATTTTCTCTATCTTACTGTGGAAGAATCCAAGGAAAAAAAAAACTGAATCATATGGAGACTTGAACCTATTAAAATTCTTAAGTTCTTGATTCTACACAGATTCTACACAGAGTCTTAGCAGCTCATTACACAATTAAAACTACCCCTCACTGAATTCTGAGGTCATAATATTCATTCAGCTTGAGAATCTGTTCAGTTTATTAAAAGTGTTTAGTCTAATGAAGGAATGTAGACTAGATTACACAGTATCTCCTAAGAAGGGCTGACCACCGAGATCATTTTTAGCAATGATACAATTTTTACTCACAGGTCTTCACAGGGTTTCAAAAGGGTAATCACAAAACTGGGCATAGACTTCCATTTATTATACTCTACATAAACTATGCAACTTTGACCATAACACAACCTGATACTGATAACATGTTACTTAAATTCACAAAGGATGACACCATTCAGGATCAGATTTGCTAAAGTATATATATAAATTTTAAATTCTCTTGGTTTTTCTGTTCCAAATCAGAATTGCTAAACATACAGACAGCAAACATTACAATAAAGGGTTTGTCGTACCAATGTGGTCAGGGAATTTCTTTTCATATAAAGTCTCTCCAAGTACTGCAGCCCCTCATCTTTCAGTAACTCCAAAGGAAAGTGATGCAGATTTCGGTAATTTAAGAACAAGTTCTTGTGCCTTTCCAGCTTTGCCTCAGAGATTGTTTTACATAGTTCTGATGCCATGACTACTTCTGTTCCAAGCACCACATCTAGTGCACTGCATCTTCTGAGAGCAGAGCCATTTCTAGGAGATAAGAAGAGGGAAAAAACAGTATCAAGGTTTATGCAATGCCTTCTTTTGTGGAAAGTTAGTTACAACATTTTATTGGATAATCTGTCTAAACACACTTGTTCCATTCAACGTACAAACAAAGTATGCATAACTTCCACATCCAGTTTTGCTAGAAGAGAGTCTTTGACCGTTTCCTGGATAAAATTTCAGTGTGTTTCCAAAGAGGCAATAACAAGATACTACGGTAGACATAATGCTCTTTTTCTTCCATTCTCCATGGACCTTTGAAATAATATAGTCAAAATATCACCAAAAGATATCACCAAAATTTTTTCTCCACTAATCATTAGCTGATGCTCTACATCTACTCTGTAGAGTGAGCTAAAAGAAGAACCCACTTACTAAGGGAGCCTAAAAAAAGAAATGCACAGTGTACTTTACTTCCTGTCTTTAGCTGATTAAAACACCTTCATGTAGCTTTTATGCCCAAATGACAAAATGCTATGAAATTTTGGCACACTTTCCCTTGTAAAACTACAGGGAAATATTTCAGCTGGAAGCTGTTTTAGCTCATTCCTTTATTGAAGGAGAGATTTCTAATCATAGCAGATATTGGAAGTGAAGATACTCAGCTCTCAAAAAGAAATCTATCTAAGGCAGTAACTTTGTAACTAAAACTCCTTACCCAGAACTGTACTGTGCATGTAAATCAAACTACCTTAGCAGTTTCAGTAATTCTCTTTGATTGCCAGATAAGTAGCTTTTACCAACAGTCTACGCCATTCCGCAGGAACACAGCATTTGTTTTCTTAGAGCACTACTAATCACAACCTCGAGGCAGCATTGTGTACACCTCTTCTAGTCATCATTTACCCCTAATCTAAGCTATGTTAAGATACGCCCTGTAAGCAAAAGATTACCACATTGAGAGTCCCATACAAAATCTGACAGTATCAGTCTAGCTTTAGTTAAACTGTGTTCACATGAGAAGGACCATCACTATAACAAATAGTTGCCTTTGTTAGATATCTTTACGAGACGGGTTACAAGCACAGTTAGCCCTTGGCACTTGCAACACGCTAAAGCTCTCCTAGCTTATCAGTAGATAAAGAAAATTAAGACTTTACAGTTCTCAATTCCACATCTTTGATCATCATTAAAATAATTTTTTAAAAAGTCTTTAAAGTGCATAACACAGGATTATTTTAGTGCTGCAACACAAGAAATCATAAAGGAAAGCTCCTCCTTCCCTGATAATAAGAGAAGTAGATCTAGACACGTTAACAGCTTGTGTTCGGATTCCGCCTTGTACTCCCAACTTTTTCCCTTCGAAAGCATTTTTTTTTAAATTAAAAGTTAAGAAGTCACAAAACACACACATAAATATCTAACAGTGTTTCCACTTGTCCAGGCAAGCTATTTAGATGTCCTGCACATGCAGACTATTCTTATACAGCTCCCACTCCATAAACCAACTGGACCACATTTAGACGTGGCACATAGATACAAAGACCAGGATGCGCAAGCCCAGAAAGGCAGAGATCTGTCATGACCTACTCTATTTTGGCCACTACTTCAAAGCAAATCTTCCCACTCACTTCCACCATCAGCCAAATTGTTTCTCTAAATAATCTCCTTCCAGAGAGGAGACATAACACTGCCACGAAGAAACAGACACAATCACACGCTGAAGAAAGGAGAAAGCGAGGAGGATGACACACACGGCAATGATGGGGGTGAAGGGTCAGGTCATTGAGAGACTAAAAGAGCTGTTGCACAGAGGATGGAGAAGACGCAAACAAGCTCGCACAGTGGTACAAGCATCCCGGAGCGGAAGCTAAGCGAAGGTGTATGAACAGGCCACAGCCAGGACCCTCAGGAGCCCACGACACCTGCAGGCCGGCTCCAGGAGCTTCGACCGCTTGCTAGCGGGGGGACCGGCCTGCCCCGCAGAGGGAAAGGGGGGCGACGGAGGGACGGACC